TCTTTTTTTTTTTTTTTTTTTTTTTTTGTCATACAAAGCTTGTATAGTCTGAAACCATACAGGTTTTCAGATATTTTTCTATTTCGTGAAAAAATGTCATTGGTATTTTGGTAGGGATTTTACTGAATCTATACCTCACTCTGAGTTATGCTATAGTTTGAACATGGCTTATATTCCCCTAGAGTCCATTGTGATTAAAGTCTGGGTCTCCAGGGCGGTGCTATTGGTAAGTACTAGAATATTTGGGAGGTAAGGCCTAGCAGAGGTCCTTAAATCTTTGCGGGCATGTACTTAGAAAGGATTAAGTAAACTTAGTCTTTCTCTCGGACTTCCTGCCTGATGATGGAAGTTCTTCTACACATGCACCTTTGCCATGATGTGATTCAGTGGAGAAAGGGAGGAGATCCTTACCAGAACTGAGCTGATGTCAGCACAATGCCTTTGAACTTCTAAAACTGTAAGTTAAACTCTTTCCCTTTACAAAGTTAGCTCCCTTACATATTTCATCATAGTTGTAAAAAACTGAAAACTACAAATAGTATAGGCATTTTAACCATACTGATTCTTTCAAACAATAGATATGGAATGGCTTTCATTTTCTTGGATCCTTTTTTAATTTCATTTTAATTTATTTCATTTAATTGCAGAGAGTTATTTCATTAACTTCTTTGGTCAAATTTATTCATAAGCTTTTTTGTAGCTATTATGAATGAGATTTTCTTGATTTCTCTTTAAGATAGTTCACTATTAGTACAAAGAAATCTATTGCTTTTATATTTATTGACTTTGTATTTGCAACTTTATGAAATTCATTGTTATTTTGAATAGTTTTTAGATATAATCCTTAGAGTTTTCTGCACATTGTCTACAAATAAGAACAATTTGACTTTTTCCTTTCTAATTTGGGTGCCTGCTACTTCTTTTTATTGCCTAATTGCTATGGATAAGACTTCTATGTTGAATACAAGTGGTGAAAATGGACATTATTCTCTTGTTCTATGACTTAGAACTTTTCTTCAGTTAATATGATGTTATTTGTGGAATTTTCATGTGTGGGCTTTTTAATAGCACATAAAAATATTGTCCAGAATAAGTCTAGGTTGGAGCCCACCAAAACCTTAACAAACTGAAGAATATTGAAATCATTTCAGTTATCTTTTCTGACCATGATGACATAAAACTAGAAATCAACAACCAGAGGAAATTTGGCAGCTTTATAAATGCATAGAAATAACATGCTTCTGAACAACCAGTAGTTCAATGCACAGGTTAAAGTGAAGTTAAAAAATTCTTCAAGAAAATGAAAATGGAAATACAGAATACCAAAACCCATAAAATATAGCAAAAGTAATTCTAAGAGAACAGGTCCTAGTAACAAATGTTTGCATCAGAAAGAAGAAATATCACAAGTATCCTAATTATGCACCCAAAGGAACTAAGAAAACAACAAACTGAATCCAAAAGTACTAGAAGGAAGAAAATAATAAGGATCTTAATAGTAATAAAATAAAAGTTGTAAGAATAGTAAAGATAATAAAGGAAATAAATCAGAGCATAAATACAATGAAGAATACAAAACAATGAAAAGGTCAATGATATGAAGGTTTTGAAAAGAAAAGAAAAATCAGCAATCTTTAGTTAGGCTAAGAAAAAAGGCACAAAACTCAAATAATATTAGAGATGGAAAAGGAGACATTACAAATAAAACCACAGAAATACAACACATCCTAAGAGAATACTGCTAAAAAGTATACAACAACAAGCTGTGTAACCTAGAAAAAAATGATAAATGTCTGAGCATATAAATAAATCTACCAAAACTGAATAATGAAGACATAGCAAATTGAAATACTAAGGGGTGTGGAAATTAAATCAGCAATTAAAAGCCTCCAAAGAAAAGCACTGGTATTAATAGTTTCGGTGGTAAATTCTACCATACATTTAAAAAATTAACATTAATTCTTCTCAAACTATTATAGAAAATTCAAGAGGAGAGAATACTTCCAAACTCATTCTATGAGATCAGCATTACCCTGATACCAAGACCTAACAAGAACATACAAAAACAAACAAGCAAGCAGACAAGTAACACTACAAATCAATATGGGAGGAGGGGGTGAAGGGAGGGCAGGGACAAGGGGGAAAAATGAGAACCAAGACCCGTCATGTAAAGGTACAAGATTCCAGTAGTGAATGTAACTGTACTGTATACCTAAAATGTACCAATAAACTAAATGAAGAAGAAAAAATATCCTTGATGAACATAAGGGCAACACTTCTCAAGGAAATACCAGCAATACAAATTCAATAACATATTTAAAAGCCAGGCCCAGTGGCACATATATGTAGTCCTAGCTACTGGGAGAGCTGAGCTGGAAGGATCATTTGAGCCCAGGATTTTAAGACCAGCCTGGGCAACACAGAAAGACCCAATTGAAAGAAAAAAGAAAAAAGTAATAAATAAAGAAGGGAGGAAAGGAGGCAGGAGAATAAGGAAGGTAGGGAAAGAGAGAGGGAAAGAAAGGAAGAAGATGGAAGAGAGAGAAGGAAAAAGAGGAAGGAAGGCAGAAGGGAGGTAGAGAGAAGGAAAAAGATAGCTTTAATCCCAGCTACTCAAAAGATAACAGCAGGAGGATGACAAGTTTGAGGTTAGTCTGGGCCATTTAGTTATATCTTGTATAAAATTTAAAAATGAAAAGGAAAGAAGATATAGCTCAGTAGGAGACTTCAGATTGCAAATAAATAAATATAAAAAAGAAATTATTCAATTTGATCAAAGGATTCATCCTAGAGATGACAGATGATTCAGTGCATACAAACAAACATGATACATCACCTTAATAGAAAGGGTAAAGACCATATGATCATTTCTGTCATTTCAATGCAGTTTTTTCCCCCTCCAGGGGATCCAACTCAGGACCTTGTGCTTCAATGCAATTTTTTGATGAGACTCAAATTCATGATTTTAAAAGATTTTAATAAAATAGGTATAGAAGCTAAGTAATTGAAGTTGTCACTTTTGAAATAGGCTTTGCTTGCCTTACTTCAAGGTTAGTTAAGAAATGCACATGGTATGACAGCCTCTGGCCTAGCCTGTACCTCTGTGAGGATACTGAAATCATTTCAAATTATATGATATCAAAAACATCTTAGGAATGGAACAAAAACATTTTTTTGGAAAAAATATTGATTTAACCTTACCTTTTATTTCTTTTCCTTTTTGTGCTTTTCCTCTCTTTTCCTATGTCATCCTACCTCCCATTACTCATGCTGGTACTTCTCAGTTTGATGAATCTTGTATTTGCACACACTTCCTGTTCAATGGGCCCTGAGAAACCTCATCATTCTGCTTTGTAAGTACTCTTCTGACTGGCTCTCATTCTAAACCTAAGGAGAGTTAAGATTTTGAATGCCTAAGTGACTGAAAAATAGGTCAAACGGGTACACAACCTGTTGTCACCTCACAGAAACCACTGGGATCTGTGAAGCCTTATTTGTGATAAGAAGAAGAGTAAGTCTGATATAGAATTGTGCTATTGATTGCAGTAGCCCCAAATCAAAGGTGACCATTGATCATTAAGAATGTGGCTCTTGCCATGTGTGGAAAATATAAAATTTTGGATATATGGGATTATATAAATTATTAAGATTAATTCCATCTTTTGGCTAAACCCAGGGCCTACCACATGTTTGGCAATGTTCTACCACCAAAGGACACCCCTAGCACTCTTCTTACATTTTAAAAGTGAATTTCATTATATTCCTACCAAGCAGTGCTCATCAAGAAAGTATAGTCGGGGAAAATGAGTGTAAAATTTTTAAAAAGACAATAGTATTGTACAACTGACAGTCTGGCAGTGTGTAGAAGATGAAAATAAGGCAGAACAGTCTAAAGACAAGGAGAGTGGTTAGAATACTCCTGTGATGGACCAGGAAAGAAATGGTTGCTATATTCTGCATCAGAGAGGTTATATCTGATACAATTGCCATGTTTTGTATTAGTAGTAGGGAAGAAAATAGAACTGAAACAACAAGAAAAAAATGGGATTATCAAAACTGTGTGTGTGTGTGTGTGTGTGTGTGTGTGTGTGTGTGTGTGTGTGTGTGTGTGTGTGTGTGTGTGCACGCACATATGCATCCTCATGCATGTAACTTTGTTTTGGAAAGTAACTACACAGTCTTACACAGGTATTTACACAACAACACAAACGCTTCTGTACTCATTTTTGATCACTTTTGATTAACTCTGGTCTAACACAGCAAGGAAGAACAGGGCCTTCTGTGTATTAACACAAGCAAATCATCTGAGGCTAGTGAAAGAATTTGTGCCTCTAGACTGAGCTCTGCTGTTTACTAACCATGTGTCTCTGGACAGACTGCTTAAGCTCTCTCAGTTTCACTCTCTTTATAAGAAAAACATTTAAACCTTCCAAAGGTTTACAGGAAGATTAGAAGCAAAAATAAAAAAAGCATGGAAACCTAAATCATGAGTGCTATAACACTGTAGATGTGAGTGTTTTTCTTTTCCACAAATTAAATCACACCAGCAGAGGGTTGACCACAACTTTACTTCCTGGAACTGTGTCTAGACTTTGTCATTTGTGGTAAGATTGTTGTTTTGGAAGTTTCCAGCAATAACAACCTCCAGATCATCACAATATTCTTCTCAGGGAAGTTTGGAATTCTCAAGCCAATATGCCCTTCTTCCCCTGGACAGTGGCAGCGGCTGAGCTAAGGTAAAAGGAGGATGGAACAGGATGTTTGAAGGTTAAGTAAATGAGACTCTGTATATTTACTGTGCCAGTTATCTGACCACACAAGTGTTCAAACACCTTTCTTTCCCTAACCTGGAGTTTGGTATCACCAGGTTGCCAGAATCAGAGGTTCAATAAGGAATATTTATCTCCTCTGCAAATATAGCTATTTTCTAAATGTCATAGTCGACTCTATCTTATGTAATGACCTATGGAATCCACAAGCTGTGGAATTACTTTTTAACAAGAGCTCCCCTATACTATGGGAGCATCCCCTTTACTATGGGATGCCTGAAATGGGGCTTCCAAGGCTCTATCACACTTGAAATTTCATGACTCAGGGATGGAGTTCAGCAAGATTTGAATTAGGGAAATTTATTCATACAGAGCTGACATGACAGATTGCTGATTGTGTCCCTTCCCTTCCTAACTTTTATGGATTTGGGGGAATTGGATCTTTCTGAAACATTCTGAAATTTGAACCTATATAAATTACAAAAAGACTGTAGACTCGGTGCAGTGATGAGTTGGTGAGTTTTGATACTAGTTCTGTGAAATGGTCCCTTTAATTATTGATAAAATTTTGTGCCATCTCAAATGCTAGCTTAAAAATATTGTGTTAACTTCTTGGTAGTTCCCACAAAATATCAATTATTTCATGATACCCCCAGAATGAACATTGGTTTCCTTAAGATGTGATTATAGGATTATAGAATCAATATACTTTTATCATGGGTAATACTATATAGAGAGAAGACTTTTGTTTTCAAAAAATTGTGAAAGATTTTTGTTTCTGGGGCTTTGGAGTTGTTATTCACTCTTTCATCGCTGTTTTGTTTTTGCTTGAATAAAACATTCAAGGTCTTTTACTGTGAGGTTATGTAGGTAGTTGTTACTCTAGTGATCTTGCAAAATAAATTCATTCCCACTGTTCATTAATCCAACAGATATGTGCCAAGCACTGGACTGGATGCTCAAGTGTGACAAGGTGACCCAGGAAATTCTAATCCCCTCTTACTTTGTAACCCAGAAGGAATGAGCTGGGGTCTCACGTGAGGGAAGTGGTAAGGGGTAATGTGTTAGAACAGGGGAACAAGCTGAGGAGGGCTTAATAAGACACCCTAAGGAGGAAGCATAGGAGGAGACATGGAAGATTTGGGTGGAAATATTCCAGGGTTCCCATCCATGGAATTCTTATCTGTGCCTTCCATGCAATTATGAGTCTGGCATAATTATTGCTGAAATTTCTTGATTTATACATAAAATTTTTGTTGATTTTTTTCTATACCTATAAATTTTGTCAGTGGAGTGAATTATTATTTAACCATTTTTAGCTACAATCTGGCAGTCTTATATGATTTAATCTAAACCTGTGACACTATCAGGATACTTGGTTCTAATCCCTAAAACTATACCTCATTGCTTTTCAAAATACAATTTAACACAAACTAAAAATACCCCAGTTGTATTGCATCAAACTTTACTTGCAAATCACTTTTCCCAAACCACTTCTTTTCTAAGTTGAAGTTTGTCTTTCTCTCTTAAAGATTTACCCAATGGTAGGGTCACTGATTGAAACTCTATGCTCTGATGAATACCCCAGTTCCTTTTTTGTTTATTCTTTCTTACATGTTATTGTTAAGAAGAAAGTAAGTGCTGTGGGCTATCATTATAAAATATCCACTTTTTTCTGAAAGGAATGCATGCTCTTGAAGTATCATTTCTATTTCACTGTGTTTGAGGGATAGACAATACTGTGAGAAATCTGCAGTATATAAATGGTGCTCTTGAAATACTATCAAATTTGTAAAATATTTGACTTCATACACACCAATGGGCCTGCGTAGAGAAGTATAAACCAAAACAGAAGGTAGACTAGAATCTCCACTTCAGTGAAATGATCCTTAGTATTACATAAACAGAGTAAAGGAGAACTTTCAATCTAAGACTTTTGCATCTTCTCACGATCATGGTAGAAACCTTTACCTCCTCTATCAATTTTGGTTTACCTATGATTAAAATTAGAACTATGTTCTTGGAACCTTCTCTCTTCTCATGCCACTTTCCCATGACACTGCTTGAAAAGATAAGGCTCACTTATAAAGGGACATTTTGGTATTGTCTGGTTGTCTGTAGAACCTCACAGGTCAACTATGGTGAGTCAGTGACATATTTTCCAGGCTATTTTATTAAAATGTATCCATTTTCCTTCAGCAATTAAAACTAACTTGGATTATGCCAATGTGTTAATACCTAGTTCACCAGACTCAGTGATGCTTTTACCTTTCTGTAGACTCTGCTGCTCTGGACATCCTCACTGCTGCTGGGAGCAGTAGCAGGTAAGAGAAGATATTCATGTGGAGCCAGGAGAGACACCTTTGTCCAGAAGGTGTGATCCTAGACTCAAGTCACAAAGAGAATGAGGAGTGAATCAAAGGAGATGCAGGACTAAGAGCCTACGGGCTTGGAACAAGGTTGCCACATAAACTCTAGGACTCCTAGTTCAACTGGAATTTCAGATAACCAAGAAATAATTCAGAAAGACACAAAAATGTGGCATATTTACTTTTAAAAATATTCTCTGAAGTCTTTTAATAACTTGTGTTTTTATAATCTCAGATACCACCCCCAGCTTGGAGTCAAGGGGAAAGTTTAAAGCTTGCTTTGATCATCTAAAACTCTATTAGGCTAAACAAAATCCATAGCCCCTCTGTGCTTCAGGATCTCATCTGTAAAATGGGGATAATGACATCACCTTTCTCATGGTATTGATAAGTAAGTCATCTGGCCCAGCCTCTGGCACATACCAAGATGATGAGGAATGCAGCCCCCACAGCAACAACTACTGTTATTCCTTTTGTTACCCTGAATTTTATCCTCCTCTAGGACCCTTCTTTGAACTATCACTTTATACAGTAACGTGCCAGCCTATAGTTTTGTCCAGCTGTGGATCTTTTGTTTGATTGTTTGTGAGTACTTTCTTCATAGTAGGAGTCCAGGACAGTCCTCAAACATAGATCAGACACCTTCTGCTCAGCTAAGGGAAAGATAGGAAGTTTTAGCCTTTGCATGAAACCTGACCTCTCACCCAAAGTACAAAGGCAGGCAGCAGCTCTAGGAGTTGAGGACCTCCACACACAGCCCAGTACCCAAGCCTGGGAACAGGGGACCACCCCATGCCTGAATGAGCCTCATTCACCCCATGCCTGAGTGAGTCTGGGTTGAAAAGCTTAAATAGTGTCTGGCTAGCACTGAAAGAGACATAAAGGGCAAGAAGTTATGGTCCCCTAGGCTGGAAATGAAGAGCAGCAGCCTATGCGTACCAGGTGTATTATCTTTTGAAGGTGCTGTGTGAGTGTGTAAGAGGGAGCTTGGGAAATTAGAGGAAGAAAATCTATCAAACAATGTAATTTTTACTTAAAAATCATTTTAAAAGAATATTCTAATGTTGCAATGAGCTCATGTCCTTGAAACCCTTCTGGGTGATTGCAGGAGGTGAAATCTGCTACAACAGACTCGGCTGTTTCAGCAATGCTGCTCCTTGGGGAGGAACCATCATAAGACCCTTGAAGATGTTACCTTGGGCTCCAAGTGTTATCAATACCCGCTTTTTCCTGTATACCAATGAGAATCCAAGCAAGTATCAAGTAAGAGCATTCATACATTTGCAGGACTTGGTTCCATCTCTTTTATGTCATAAGGCTATATCTTGCTCCATTTTCTGCTTCTATAACAGAATACCACAGACTAAGTAAATTATTTTATTGTTTATTTGGTCTATAGTTCTAGAGGCAGGGAAGTCCAAGATCAAGGGCCCAGACCACGGATGCATCTGGTGAGAACTTACTTGATGTATCATAATATATATAGCAAAAGGTACAACGTGCTGGGAGAGTGTGTAAGAAAGAAAAAGGGGTAAATGCATGTTTTAATGAGGAAACCATTTCTGCAGTAACTAACCCCCTCTCGCAATAACAGCATTTATTCAAGAGGCAGAGTCCTCATGACCTATCACTTCTATTACAATGGCAGCTAAATGTCAATATATTTTTGACTCATGTTATTCCATCCCTGTTTCCCCCAAAATTCATGTCCTCCTCCCATACAAAATACATTAGACCCCAAGAGCCCTTAATGTCTTTACTTGCCCTGCATCAACTAAGAATCCAAAGTTCAAGCCTTATCTATACCAGATATAGGTGAAAGTCAGGACATGATTCATGCAGGGGCAAATTTCCTCAGGCTTTGAGCCTATGAAATCAAAACAAGTTATCCACTCCGAAAATACATTGGTAGGACAGGCATAGGATAGACTTTTCCATTCCAAGTGGGAGAAATATGACAGAAAAAAAGGAGTAACAGGTCTTCAAGTGCGTCTCAAATCCAGTAGTGTTAATAACGTTGTCTTTTTTTTCAGCTTTAATTGAGTTTATTGGTACATTTTAGGGATACAGTACAGTTACATTCATTGTTGGGATCATGTACCTCTACATGGCAAGTCTTGATTCTCATTTTTTCCCCTTACCTCTGCCCTCCCTTCACCCAATAACGTTAAGTCTTGAGGCCATGATAATCTTTTACTCCATGCACCACCTCCTGGACACACATGGTTTTGCTGGGCTCAGTGCACCCAATAGCTTTCCTAGGCTTGAGTCTTGTACTGACAGCTCTTCCACGCTGGTGTTGCACGCTGACAGCTCTATGGTTCTGATGTCTCGAGGTCTCCCACTTCCACAGCTCCTCTAGGTGCTGGCATAGTAGGGATTCTCTGTGGTGATTCTACCCCATGTCACGTTTCTATCTGATCCCTAAGCTGTTCGCAACACCCTTTGAAGTCTAGGAACAAGTACTCATCTGGCAATCTCTGCATTTGGTAAGCCTGAAAACTTAACTCCACTAGATCCTATTAATGTTTGCTGCTTATGCCATACTTGGTGTTTGAGCCACAGCTAGGAGGGCTGAGGGGCAGTGAACTAGAATGCAGTGTTCAGAAACTTGAGCTGGTTTTGGCCAGCAAACCATCAGGAATGTCCCAGGCCTGTCCCCCAAAGCCATTTCTTCCTTGGGAGAAGCAATCTCGAAGATCTTTGAAATGTCTTTAGGTTCTTGCTGTCATTGTGTGGAGGGATAGCATTTGAATTCCTTCATTCTCCTTTGCAGATGGGTACTTGGTCACATACTTGTTTTACTCTTCTAAAGACGCTTATTTTTAATCTTTATCTTTTCAAGCTACAGAGTTTTCAGATTCTCTTCTGCTTTCATTTTAATTATAAATTCCATCTTTTAAGTCATTTCTTTGCTACCATACTTCACTATATGCAGGCAAGAGTAGCCATGCAGCAGCCTGAATGATTTATTTCTCAGATATTTCTTCCGACAAATATTCTATTCATTGAACTTTAGTTCTACATTCCATATAAAGTCCTGGCACATGCACACAATTTAGCCAAGTTCTTTGCAAATGTATAACAAGGATTTCCTTCACTCCAGTTTCCAGTAACTTGTTTTTCATTTCCATCTGAGAGCTTGTCAGATGACCTTTACATATTTTTATCAACATTCCTGTCCTAACTACCAAATTAATCTCTGTGAAATTTCAGACTTCCCCACAGCGAGTGGTCACCAGTATACTCCATAATGTTCCATTCATGGAAAAATGAGCTGTTTCTAGACCATTCCTTCCCATTCTTCCAGCCCCTGTCCACTACTCAATTCTAAAGCAGCATCCACACTTTCAGGTATTTGTTATAGCAACAACCCTATTTCTAGGATCAATTTTCTATCAGAGTCTATTGTCTGGTTTTGTACCTGAATGCAACAGGCTGGATTAATTTTTAAAACTAGAATTTACTTGGCTCAAGATTCTGGAGGCAGAGAAGTCCAAGATTAAGGGTCCACAACTGGTGAAGGTTATAACATGGAAGAAAGCATCATATGGCGGGGGGAGGGGGAGAGAAAGATCCTTCTATCCAGAATCCACTCCTACAATAAGTAATTATTCCCACAGTAATGGCATTAATCTATTCATAAGTACAGAGTCCTAATGACATAGACATAGTCACCTCTTAAAGGTCTCATCACTTCAAGTATCACAATGGCAAATAAATATCAGTGTA